GGGAGAATTGAGAGAGAGAGAGACAAACACACACACACACACAAAGAGGAGAGGGGAACTGCTGGGGCCGGCCCGTATTGAAGAATATGGCCGAATTTACCCGGGCTGGCCGTATATCGGCGTATAACACGCACACATCATTTGCCCCCTATTTTCAGGGGGAAAAAGTGCGTGTTATACGCCGATAAATACGGTACTTTGTTCAATTATTATTGTGGTAATAATTTCATCTGTTATGCATTAATTACAGCAAGGGCAAAATAATGGACATCATCACAGAGTATGAGCCCGGATAATTAGAAGAAACATATCCAGGGCTTTTTTTTGTCATAGAACGTCCAGAATGGAGTTCCGGCACCTTTTTTGGATGGAACCTTGTAGGGTAGGCAAGGTGGGTTGTATGACATGTGTGAGTTCCGGCACCTTTTAATTTTTTTATTTTTACAAAAAAAGCATTGAACATATCCATTATGAACACTATATGAAAACTTACCTGTATATATTTTATTACTATTTTCATGTCTTACATTTATTATAGATACCTTATCCACTTTATGAACTAACAGCAAGCATATGATTGTGGCAGTATAAGCATATAATAAATAAGTTAAGCCTACCCTATTACTTTATTTAATTTTTATATCTATCTCATATATGTGACTCTTGGCAACACACATAATTAAAATACAACACTAAACAGTCAACATAACTCAAACACACCCACTAAAATACAATTAAAAACATTTAAAACTATAATAACAACAACTTTAGCATCTATCTCATCTTTAGCATTTTTCTCATCCCTTTGAGGGAAAATCAGAGGCACAAAGCTGGATAATTAGAGAATGGCTGCCACAGATAACTTAAGAATCATATTTGCTTTTTAAAATTAGATCAGCCTTGCACAGACAAAACATGGTCTAGGCTTCTCTTCTTACTTTGTGTAAAGTCTAATTTGAAAATCCCACTGTGATAAAATATTATTGAATTATAAAACAGTTGTGATATTTCTTTCTTTTCCAACATCATCTCCAGTTAATCTTTAGTTACATTCATACATCAGGTGGCCTGATAAATTGATAAATCATTTTTAAGAATCTTGGGTTTTTTATTCAAATTCAGCATCTGCAACCTTTTAAAACTGGGAAAGAAAAATAATTTCTATTTCAATGTCAGGCATTTCAAATGGAAATAAATGTATGATGTAGTTTAGTAAAACCAATTTAGTAGTCAGTTATAACTGCTAAAAATAATCTTGTATTGCCTCTATGATACATTTGTTTGGAGAAGATGTCCCCAAATCATATCCAAATATATTTTATAAATGATCCAAATACAGCAAAAAAAGAGGAAATGAGCTGCAAAAGGCATAAAATGTTATAACTAATACATAGTTTATATTTTAGCATGAAATTAATAGTACATTAAAATAATTAATTATATAACATGCCTTATCAGTTAACTATATGAAAGCGATGGTTTCAGAAGCACAATATATTTTAAGTCATGGTTCAGGTCTATTTGGTTGAATCATAAAATGTTTTTCTTAACGTGCAATCATTACTTAATGTAACTAAAGTTTCCATGCTTCATGTAAGAATATTAGGAAAATTAAACAATTCAATATTGTCATGTTAGCTCCATCCAAATATACTGTATTATTTATTTTTCATTACAATAATTTTCTCATATGAAAACTGAAAGAACATGTAAGACCTTTTTACCTGTCTTCTAATTCTATTCTTTTCATACTGTGAAGATGCAAAACAGCTAGTATTATTGCTACCAGGAATATGACCGCACAGCAAACTCCTACACTGATATAAAACACACGCGTAGAAGTGGTGGGAGCTGCATTTACAGGATCAACTGAAATAGAACATAGAATTCAACAAAAAATTAGTGGAAATTAAATGAACATATTTGATAGCTCAAGAAAAAAATAATTATGTTAAGCATATATAAAGCTCAAAATTTTATTTGCAGAACTTTAAATTGTAAAAGTGCATTAATCAAATTTGATTTATATCTAGTATGTAAGAAATATAAAATTATTTATTGTAAAAGTAACTGATAGCAAAATTTAATATACAGACTATTGAATTAACTATAAAAACAACATGGCAGGAACAACTTATTTGTTTATTCCTGTATGGATCTATACCACCCATTCATGAAGACTTGGTGGCTAACAATCAAGAACAACATGAAATAAAAAGACCCCGTTTCCAAATATCTATAAAATAATAAAGCATTCATAACATAAAGATAATTGAGAAGATATATTTATTTATTTAATTTATATGGCTGCCCAGCTGTGAAAATACAGTTGCAGTGGCATAGAAAACTCTATGTCTGCCAGATTCTGATCTTCATTCAAAACATTCCATTATTGAATTAGGTGGAACAACCAATAGTCACACTCAACTAGGCACTAGCCCGGAAAAGGTGTCTTTAGTATTTTACTTCTATTATATTGATAATGCTCAAGCATAAACTGCTAATTTGGTTAATATTCTTAGTGAAAGAGATGACCAGGCTGAGGGGATCAAATACATAATCAATTTGGAGTCCCTAGGCCCCTATAAGGGATGTAAGTCCAGCCTCCACTTAAAATCCGTTGACTCTTATCTGGTACCAATTTGCCTTGACAGTTAGTAGTTCAGATTCTTCTGTATAAATATCATGAAATAAACACGTAGTGTTTTTTGAACTCTATCCTGGTACCTGATTTCTTGCACCTGACAGTTAGTGCCCAATATAGTGTCCAAATACAAAGTAACTTAGGATCTTTAAATGAATAAGAGGAATGAATAAAAGATTGAAAGTCTGACTAAATTTTCTTAATTCAACAGCAATGTGGGAAGAATTTAGTTTCTGATTCCTATATGAGCAGGCAATTCAAAAAGAATGTATATGATCTTCTTCATGCAAATCATAACATGAATTAAAATAAGGGAAAAAAATCCCTACCATTGTATATAAACATTTACTTACAAATGGCTTTAGTGTTATTTTTGTCTGATATTGGCAGCTTTACTTCTAAATCAAGTTCTAAAGATAAGAGGAGAAAAGGGGCATTTTAGATTTAGATTTTAAGTTTTCTAATAAATTGCTTTTATTAGAAGAGAATAAAAAAAGAATTTATCCAAGCACCAACAGAAACACAAAGCTTTGAAAGTTCGGTTATTTAAAAAATTCTACACAATCGAAGGTCTACAGAGAAAATACCATAGCATGCAGTACCATTACCTCCAAGTCTCCAGTAACAAGGTGATTACAACTTATGCAGTTGATTTGACATATATTAAAAACAAAATACCCTTAGATAAACATAACTATTTCACAGGAAATAGGGAGAAACATAAACTAAAATTAAACTGAGAATGTATTATGATCCTAGAAAAAAAAGAGATTAAGCCAGAATTATTTTTGTTAGGAATAATAGGAGCAAATTATGAGAAAGACTATATATTTAATTCTACACGTACTAACTGCAGGAAGAATTGTATTTGCCCAACATTGGAAGAATGAAAATTTACCAACTGAAGAATTAATTAAGAAAATTTTAGTGTGTGCAGAAATGGATAGATTGACTTTAAATATAAAAGAGAAAGAAGACTCAATGTATTTTATTACATGGGATAATTTTTATCAATGGCTAGAAAAATGTGTTAGAGAGAAAGGAATGTGATAGGTAATTTTGAATATATATTAGCAAGAAGACCATTGAACGATTAATTAACATATTATTTTATGATAATCAACTATTATTCATTGTTCTTTTTAAACACATGAACCCAGACATTATGCTGTTTGCTAAATATTGAGAATGTCATTTGAAAAAACTCTAACCCAAATCCCAACCCTAACCCTAACCCAAATCCCAATCCCACCTTATTCCTAATTCAAAACATATTCTTCACATAATATTGAAACACTATGTTAAAATAGATTAGTAGTTATTATCTAGCAGGAAATTGCAAACAATGATAAAAAGACAATTTCCACTGTAATAATGGTATTTCACCTTTATTTCCTTTAGTTTATAAATATTGACATAAATATTGTTATTGAAAATCTAAAGTATTTCTTTCTCACATGCACATAATTCTGTTGTCAATACTGTATTTCTACCATAGTAGCTATTATCTACTTTAGTGATAAAATCAACAAACTTTTTCTCCACTTTAAAGTGATGAATTTAAAAGAGTAGTGATAAAGAGCTTTCCAGCAGAAAAGATTCTATGAAGTTTGCAACTGACTTCTTTAAAATAAAAAACAAAAAAGCCATTACTTACTTTTATGACACATTTTCCTCCGTTTGAAATTTAATACTGTGATATTTTTAGAAGTATTAACTGTCATGTTGAGTTGCATTAGTACTGTAACATCAAAGTCTAACTTGCCAGTACAAGACAGTTCCATCCGAAATACTGTAAATAGAAAGATAAAACAAAATGGTTTATCTTATTGTTTTATATACTTTCAACACTTTACTATTATTTAAAAATTTAATATAACTATAATTTAGACTTTTTCTTTAACCTATCATGTCTAGAGCTACAAAAAAAGATGACACTTTCTCGGTCAATATGAATCAGAAGAGATTTTGGTTTTACTCAAACAGATAACCTATTTGATCCCCTTTGCTACTGGAGAAAGAAACTGAAGAATTCCTGGTCACATCCTATTATGATATTAATAGGAAGTACATTTACTTCCTATGGAAGAATATCTACTGGGATCAGAAAAAAGGTTTTATTTGTGGTAGCTCCTTCCCTAGGGCAGAACCTATGGCATGGGTGCCAGAGGCGGCACTTAGAGCCCTCTCTGTGGGCATGCGTGCCGTCGCCCCAGTCCTAGGCCTTTAGCTGGGTTTTATAAAACCTTTTCGCTTTAGGCCTCCGCCGCCGTGTGCAAAAAAAAAAAAAAGGTCCAATCAATCAGTCAATTTCAACTTCTCGCAGGAAAAAAAAGACCTTGCAAAGTTGGAATTGATTGATTGAACTTTTTAGTCCCACCCAGTCTGCTGTTACCACCACAGCCACGCCCACCCAATGGGCCACTCCCACCCAATGGGCCATACCCACCCGGCACCTGACGATGCATAGGTGGGTTTTGGGTTGAGTTTGGACACTCGGTCTCTAAAAGGTTCGCCATCACTGCCCTAGGGAATATAATTACTATGGAGATAGGATCTGTCCCCATTTTGATACTTTTTCTGGAACATCTTGAAAACATGATTCTGTCAGTAGGCCTGGGCACTCAGGTTGATATGGAGCTGATCAAATGGTTAGTTTGATTGTCTTTTTTGACACTGCAGAGGTGGTGGATGGGTGTGTGTTTAGAAGCTTTATAATAGATGTTTAATTTTTAAGCCATTCAGAGTCACCCTGTGTAAGCTGGATGGCAATATAATTTTTTTCATCAATCAATCAATAAAATCAAAGTACAATGGAAAAAGGAGGTAACAGATTTCCTTGATTATTATTCATCCAAGATGCAGGAGTAATAATGTTTGGTTTTGTAACTAAAAATCAACTTTGAATAAGAGTCCTAAAAAAATTGCCAATTTGTATTTATTATTATTACATTTATTTGCCTCTTCTCTTGCAGTTCAAGAGAAGTTTCCTACCATTTAGAATGAAATAAAAATGAATGTAAGAAGCTACCACTGGAAAAAAAATGTCCTCCCCACAAATACTTCACATTTCTTTCAAGGAAGACAAAAATTGATTAGATTCCATTCATTATAAACTAGGATAAATTAAGTTGCAACATTTTAATTAATATTCAGAAAGAATAAAAATCAAATAGTTGAGGATACAACAAATTAAATGCAAGATGTAATAAAAAAATTAGAAATAATAACTCAAGAACAAAATGTGGATAAATTGGCATGAAATATCAGTTCATTTATAAACAGAACATGTTTTAAATTATGTTTTGCATATAAAAATGGATAACGGATGCAAAACTGGAAACAAAATCAATTTCCTAAAACAAGATAAGAGGCAACAGATGCTCTAATACAATGACTGTGTCTGGGCTAAGTTTCATTAATTTTCAACTCTAAACAAAGTTCTATAGAATTCACCTGATGGCAAATTGTATAATGGCCAGAATATACAGGTAGTCCTTAACTTATAACCACAATTGAGCCCAAAATTTCTATGGTTAAGTGAAATACTTGTTAAATGAATTTTGCCCCATTTTACGACCATTCTTGCCTCAGTTATTGTGAATCACTGCAGTTGATAAGTTAGTAACCCGGTTGTTAAGTGAATCTGGCTTCCCCATTGACTTTACTTGTCAGAAGGTCGCAAAAGGGGACTATATGACCCCAGGACACAGCAACTGTCATAAATATGAAGCAGTTGCCAAGCATCTGAATTTTGATCACATGATGCAAAGATCGTAACTGAAAAACGGTCATAAGTCACTTTTTTCACTGCTGTTGTAACTTTGAATGGTCACTAAATGAACTGTTGTAAGTCGAGGACTACCTATATAAAGTTTAATTACAATTTGTTGTGTAAGTCACAAAGTCTATCTCTTTCCTTTGCTATTATGTTTATAAACATTCTGATCAACCAGAGTAGGTCATGCTCTTATTTCTGCTCTCCAAGGAGTTAGTAGTCCACCCATCAAAGTAAACAGTTAACAGTATTTGAATACAGGTAGTCCCCAAGGTACGAGCCTAATAGAGCCTGCCCATTAGGCTCGTAATCGTCAAATGAATCAGACTCAATATTACAACAATTTAAAATCAAACTCATTAATTGAATCAAATGGGTCATTAAATGAACAAAGATTTGACTTATTATTTTCTCTGATGGCTGCCTGAACTGACTTTTCCTGCCGCTGCTGCAGACTGTTTCTGACTGCAAATCAGCTGTTTCAGGAACCACAGTATTGTAAATTGCCTCCCAAGCAGGCAGCAGGCTTTTTTTTAAAAAAAAAAAAGATTTGTTGCTAGGCAGCTCAAGCTTCTTCAGAGTGGGGGTGGAAAACTCTCCAAATTGTAGTTGCCACTAAAGTAGCTTTAGCTTTAAGCGTCTTCAGGCAGGCATGCAGAGGGAGATGGGGGTGGAGTTTACAGAACTGTCGGCTTGCAACAGTAACTGAGATGGAAGGGACCTTGAGGCCATCTAGTCTAACCCAGTGCTCTCACAAGAGAGTATAGTACTGTACTGTAGTTCTGATAAATGCCTATCCAGTATCTCTATTTTTTTAATAAATATTTTATTAATTTTCTAGTTTTACCAGTCCAATACTTAATAGACAATGTGTTGTCTGGGTCCATTAGTAATTCAGTGGTATATATTAACTTCCTCAATCTAGATCCAATATTACACCATCAAATGTTTCCTCTCTTCTTCCGGTAGTACCTGTTTTCCCACACTAGGCAGATACAATTCTTATTGTTATTAATAAATATACAATTGAATATTAAGATCTTTGTTACATTTTTCTCATAATATCAATAATGTCAGTTTTAGATAACTTTTCTAATCAAAACATATCTTAATTGCATTTGCACTTAATATCTATATGTTCAATCCGTACCCTATTTTCGCTTTTTTTTTTAAATTTTAATTTCTCCTCAGTGTTCAAAATGTCTCTATTGTTTATAATTTCAAAGTAAGTTATATTTGGGTAACCAAAAGCTTCCCTTATTCAAACTTCTTAGTATTTTCCTGTTTCTCTTCTCATACCAAAATCTAATATTCTAATTACAAAACTTATCTTTCTAGTTATAATAATACTTCTATTTCTAGCAATTATCTATTCTCCACCATATTCTTAAAAGCGTCCAGTGAAAGAACACCCACAACTTCTGGAGGCAATTTAAATTTAAAACTTTTTTTTTTTTTTTAAATTGCACCTCATCAGCACAAGCCTCTCCAGGCAAAATCCAAAATGGGAATTTCCTTCAGTAAGGGGTCAGCAGAATCTCTGGTGGGTTTGTGCTAGGGAGAGGAGGCAGCAGCAGCCACATTGTGTTTGTAAGTACATTACTTTGCAAGATTGTTTGCAAATGCAAACAAACAATCTTGCAAAGTAATGTACTTACAAACACAATAAAAAGCAGAGCAGCTCCCAAAGTGATTACAAACAATACAGTATAGCACTATAGAGCAGGCATGTCAAACTGCCGGCCTACGGGCCAGATGCATCACGCCAAAACCGCGCCCACTCCATTGCCAGCAATGGGGAAAAAGTCGCGATACGTCATGCGATGTCATGTGACGTCATGAGTTTGCCATGCCTGCTATAGAGTAACAAAAAAGAATATTTTAAAATATTTACAGAAGTAATTCTAACTCTCTGCAGTACAGTACTGTAGTCCTCAAGCCCAACAAGCAGCATATCTTCCATGCAGCTCCAGGAAATCAAAAACAAACGGTCGGTGCTGGCTGCAAAAATCACCGGATCTTGTTTGGCCATGTGACCAGGCACAACCCCCCCAAAAAACCCCCACTTCCGGCTTCTCATAGGCCGAACAGGCCCAGGCAAGTTATAGAGTTAAAATGGCCGCTGCAGCAACTGAGACTGAATCCAAGTCACATGGCTACAGAGGCCTGTTTTTGATCACAATTTTGAATTTCTAATGTAAGTACATTTTCTGAATAACCTCACTTTGTGACATCTCGCTAAATAAACGCTCGTATCTGGGGGATTACCTGTATTCTGTTGTGTGCCAGCTCTAATGGAAATACACTCACCTGACAAAGTTCGAGGAACTTCTCCTTGTTCAGAAATATTTACCTGTGGCATATCCATAGCCAACAGATTATCTACTTGAAATCCCAGTTTATATTCAATCTGTAATAATATGCAGAAAAATATCAAACTAAAAATATGTTTAACAAAGATTATCTGTTTCAAGTTACACTGTTAACAAAAAACCTGTTTGCTAGGTGCCAACATCATATCTGATGGAAAGATTTAGATAAAAAATAAGATAATGCTAAGTCACTTTTATACCAAGAAGGAGGAATAATTGAAGAGAATGAATGGAAAATCATTTTATATAGAAAAAATACATATAAATTTCTTCATAAATGTGCTCAATGTTTAAATATTTAATGCTTTTTGCTTTATTAAACTAGGCACCAAAACATAAATGTTGGAATAGTAATGAAATATTTAATCTTTAAACTACACTGAAATAATTAAAGCAAAAATCAAGAAATATGACATATCTCACTCATTATTTCACTTATAATGGATGTTATTTGAGTTGTCATCTACATAATTTACCAAAATTGAATTAAATACATTTATACATATTAGGTATGTATCTGCACAGATTTCCATCTGGAATAATGTAAAGCTCATACATTCACAAAAGAACTCTACTATCCCTATATGAGATTGTGATTAGACATGATTCATGCCGAAACCCTCAGTTCAAAGGACTGACACAATAACCTAAGAGGAATACACATGTCCTCTGACACTAAACAAATCAGGATAGCAGGTTCTGTAAATTTACAGTGATTTTATTTTTTACAAACCTCAGTTATACCATGTTTCCCCAAAAGTTAAACCTACCCCGAAAATAAGCCCTAGGTTGATTTTTGGGGGTGGGCCTAATATAAGCCCTACCTCAAAAATAAGCCCTAGTTTTGGGGTGAGGCGCACGCCTAAAAATCAAGCTAGGGCGGGGGTGGCGGGATGGAGTTGCCTTACACGGTCCGCATCCACTTACCAGGCCTCCCATGAATCGACACCTGCCTTTCCTCGCTGGCCCATTTCTTCTGCAGCGTGAATGAAGCTGCTCCTTCAGCCTCAGAAGAAGTGGGCCAGCTGGGCGGGGCTGTTAGTGCTACCGCTGCAAAGTGAGTACAAACAACACTCTCTGAAAATAAGACCTGGTGCCTCTTTTGGAGGCAAAAAAAAAAAAAAGTCTGGGTCTTATTTTCGGAAAACATAGTAGCTACACAATCAATTCTTTTGCAAACTTAAAATAGCTATTGCTTACCTTAGACTTCGCATGCCAAGTGAAATGAAGGCTGTTTGTCTCTACTGGTATTTGTAGATTAAATGACAAAGCGAAGTGATTGATAAGGTCATTTCTCACATAATAAAGTTCTGCATCGATTCCTAAATATTTTTAAAATGATAAAAGAAGGCCGAAAGCAAAGTTATAACAAGTGGCAAAATCATTTCAAGAAAAAACCAGCTTGTTACAATGTAACGCCACAGATAATGTAACAGCAAATAATGAGACCTTGTGTCTATGGGAATTGGGAGACCGGATTCCAAAATCTACAATAGTTGTTTTCACAATGCACAACAGGAGTACATTTTAATTTTTTTGCAGCACAAAGACCACTCCCCAGTTCAGCCCAGTGGTGCTGTACAAAGATGTTTTTTGGCAAACTGAAATCCTAGGACTGCATTTTGCTTTCTTCCCCCTGTAGCACCCAGGCTGGGCACACCTCATCAGCAATGGGAACAAGAAAATGGTGAAGGTCAAGTGCATAGGGCAGACATGATATCAGAATACAAGATGGTGAGGGTGACTACGGAAGTAAACAGAAAGCCCAAAATGTGATCATGTGACTGTGGGGGTGGTAGTGGCTATTGGAATTTTGAATCTGTTGTAAATGGCCCTGGGGAGATCCTTCTTAACTTTCATGGTCCCTGAGCAACCAGTCATAAATTGAGCACTATCTGTAGAAGTGTCAACATCCAAGATACCTTAGAAGATATTTCCTATTTACAAAAGCTACTAAAAGTTAAATCTGTGCTATTGTCATTATCACATTGGAAAGTAACAGGACGATGGTTATCTGTAGAAATGAGACATATAACTGAAAAGGCGCAATGACCGAAGAATATCAAATAGGGAGACTTAATGTGTGAAAACTATTTTAAAATATATTTAACTTCATATGCTATCAAAATAATGTATAGGAGTTTAAAAGTCCTATATGAAAAGTAAGATTCTAAAAATTCAAGATGGCTTTAGAAAAAAACTAAAAACATAAGAAATATTGCTGATGTATTGATGTGTATCAATTTATTTTTTATTGATCACAGGAAGGCTTCAGTTGTGTTGACCATGTTCTTAAGAAAATGAGAATTTTTAACAATTCACTGTCCTTATGACCAGCCTATAAAAAGTCACATGGCACATGGCAAAACAGGCTTGCTCCAGGTCAGAAAAGGGGTGCACAAAGATTATTTATTTATTCAACGTACAACACTGTAAATATTGGGAGGAAACTTGGATTGGAAGAAGATGAGCATAGATTTAAAACCAGAGGGGGAAAAATGAATAACCTGCACTTTGCTGATGACACTACTCTGGGAGCTGAAAATTCAAATGATTTGGAAGCTCATATTATTTAAGTCAATAAGAATAGTGAAAAAAATGGGACCAAGAGTAAATATAAACCCCAAACTAATGACAGTTAAGCACCTAGTGACAGAACTGACAATTAAGTTACTATAGTAGTAGACAGTTTTAGAGTTAATTAATAACATTAAAGAACCAGCAGTCAAGAAATATTTCACTGGTAGTACTTGTTTGAGTAGAAATTCAGACCTTGAAAAAAATAAAAAGTATCACGCCATGTTTATACTACAAAGATGAAAATTATGTAGGCAGTAGTTTTTCCTACGGAAAAACAAAACTTGGACTTTGAAGCAGTTTTGGGTATTTTATGATAAGGGGACCTTGAATGCTGAAGCACTAAAGGGAGTTAGAGAATAAAGAAAAAAAATAGAGCAGAATTCTATAATAGCAGCTATTGCATATTTTTTTTGCCAAACTTTATAAAATAAATAAATAACCTTCTTCATAAAATGGACATAACATGTTACAATAAAGTTACAGATCAAGAACAAGCGCAACGGAAAATTTAGAAAATTACTTTGAGGGATTTAACCATGGTAAGCAATGATGCAGATATTACTCGACTTCCAATCACAATTAGGAACAAAATCTTCATTAAAGCAGTCATTAAACAAAATGTTCATGTGACTGTTTCACTTAAAAACTGCAATCCTGGCATTTCCAGTTCTGGTTGTTAAACAACCTCCTAGGTCTTCAGATGGAATGCCTGCCAAAGGATTTCAACTCTGTGGAACTAAAATTTTCCCAGCAGGCAGCTCTTTTGCTCTCAAATTTTTGTGCAGTCTGCCAATGGATTTCAGCTCTAGAAATGATGCAGAAATCTTCACAATTTCAGCTTGTTCCTGCAACCTGCCAAAGGTTTTCTATGCAGTAGGTTGTAAATTGCAATCATATGATTGCAAGTCGCTTGGCAATTGGTTGTAAATGTGAGCCAGTTGCCAAGCATCCAAAATGCAATCAAATGACTGTGGGAGGGTGGCATGGTGCTATATTTTACAATGGCCAAAAATGTTTTATGTGCTGTAAAGCACCTTTTCCAAGGCCATTGTAACTTTGAACAGTAAATCAAGGACTACCTAGATGGAAAAGAATATGGACATACAAATGGAATTGATGATTTATTTTCTAAAGGAGATGTACATCTGTTGAACCAGGAATTGGATTTGTCTATTGTAAAGTGATGTCACATGACTGCATCATTTAGCGATGGCAATCCCTGTGATCCTGACTATCGCTTTTAAGTGAAAATGTAGGTCATTAAGTGAGTACCTCCTCACAACTTCCTGCTGGCTTCCAACAACCAAATCAGTGGAGGAGCCAGCAGGAAGTTGCAAGTTCCAGGTGATTTAAAAGCAGCCCAGCAGGCAAGTAAATGACTGCTGATACATGGAAGAGAGAGCAAGATGTGCAGATGGCTGGGGAGGCATAGCCTAATGGCAGTGCTGCTTGGGATGGCTGCTGCCAACTGGGAGAGGGTGTGTGGGTGGCCAGGGAGAGTGTGCGAGTGGTCAGAGAGTATGGCACAAGTACAGTGAGTCTAGGTAGGGGAGGTGCACAAAGCAGAGGGTGCAGGCAATTATTTGTGGATGAGGGAGACTTACTGTGGCAATTTGCAATCTTCCCTACCAGATTCTCTTTACTTATGGGTAGCCAAAACAGAACGTTGGCAATCACAATCACATGATCACAGAATACCCAAATTGTGATCATGTGACTATGGAGGTGTAACCAGTACTCTAATCACCATTGTAATTTTGAACAGTAGATACACAAGTGGTTGTTAACTGACTACCTGTATACTGAAAGTGAATGAATGCTCAGACTGAGTATTTAAAAATGACCAATACAAACAATGAGTTGGGTCATATAAAAAGAATGAAATAGGAATGAACCGCAAAATAAATATATGAAGGAAGAGTGGATTTGTTGGGAGATGGGAAAGTCTGAGAAAGTAATACTTATGCTGAATTAATGAGGCACCCAAAAAGAGAGGAGCTAAATTTAAAGAATAGCATGCAAAACATGAATCAGTATATGGATATGATGAAAGCAAAAAAGATTTGCAAGGAAACAAAAGTACAGTCAGGTATTATGAATGGAGTTGGTGTAAATTAGTCTTAACTGTATTTCATTTTTCTTTCTATTTCCTTTAATTTGCTCCTTATTCTTTTTCTACACATAACACAGCTTGCCATAAAAGAGATAAGCATCATTAACATATATGTATGCATGCATGTAGTTGCACATGTAGTGTGATAAGCTCTGGTTTCTATCAGTCTGTGAGCTATACTGATGTTTAAATGAATTTCAGTATGACTGTTTATGACGCAATTGGACTTTGTAGTTCTTTTTGTCAAATGTTCATGGTTTCTGATTTCATGTAAGCTTAGTTGAGAAAAGGAATTATAAAAACCAGTAGGAAGTTAACATCCAGTATTTTATTCAGACATTTAATACCAAGTAAAGGATAGACAATTGTGTGTCTTTCAGATGTTAATTCAGAACTTACTAGATTTCTATAGTAGCATGACCAATTTTTTGTGCTCCAGGGAAAAAGTTCTGCATTAGGCATATTATGGCTTTGATCTGGTTTAGTGTGTTGTTTGAACACAGACTACAAACCATAGTTTATCAGTTTATTCAACTAATCGCTGAAAGTAGTTACAAAAATTAACCAATGTTGTATTTATGTCTGAACTGAGAAACTTTTAATTATGTTTGCCCTATAAGGCAGATTCAAATTATTATTTATTACTTTATGTATAGCATATCTGATGGCTAAGATAAAGAATTACTATAGTTTGTTATGAGGCATAATCAATGTTATTGGGTCAGGAGACCAAAGAGAAGTTCTAAAATGTGGCACAAAATGTTGTAGTAAGATGGGGAAATTGCAAAAAGTCAGAGGCAGCTTATTTATTTGTTCAATTTGTTTCAATTATCCAATCAACTCAAATGATACACAATGCATTCTCTCTCTCTCTCCCTCTGTCATATATGGAAAAATTCAGATAAAAACTTATACTAATTGTAATATAGATTATTGAATAAGAGCACAAATTTTAGAATTCAACTTTTGGTTAATTTACCAACATGCTGCTAAGGAAAAAATGCTTTTATAACTTTTATTTACAAATGCAGACCAATAATACAACTGCTGAAAAGATTCTCATTCTGAAATATCCCCTGTATTTTCAAAAGGTGAAAAACCTAATCCATTCAACTACCATCCAATGTATATTCTAAGCACAGTTAATCAACTATATATACACACACACACATATACACACATATATATACACACACACTAGTCACCTATATAACAAATCCTTTGCTTAAGGACAATAAACTGATTTTAAACCTGGCTATCCAACTTTTGATTACTGCATCATTCTCTGCTATCTCACTAAGATATCACATTTGCCATGAGAATCTCTTTATGCTGCTTTCATAATTTATAATACAGAATTTGATAAATCCTGAGAAAAAGAGTGTGGGAGTAACTAGCAGCAACCTCTATTGATTGCTGCTTGCTGTGATACTATTTTGTGAAAATACTTATAAAGAATAAAGCATGATACTTACGGTTTCCACACTGACTCTATCTCCATCATAACGGATGTCAAATGGGGATCTATTCTTGTTTATCCAATATCTATTTTAACTGCACTTAAGCTTTGCCAAGTAACAAGTTTCAGTCCCCAACATTAACACAAACTCAGATCCCTCCCACTACATGCCAATAGTTTTCATGTTTTATGCAGGTTCTGAGGGAGCTTAGCTACCTTTTGCCACCAATAAACAAACCAAATAAACAAACAATAAACAAACAAATAAACCAAAACTTATAGTGTTTATTCAAAATGAAGACTGTCCTGTTTACAAAAAATGCTCTGCCAACTTAAATGGCAAATTAATTAAAACTATGCAAACTAAGTGCTTTAAATATTGAGGCATTATCTTCCACTTATTCTCCACATGGAATAAACAAATCCAGAACGGTGGAGGAGGCCACTAACGAAACAATTAGGTATGTGTGCTGTAAAGATAAGAGTTTTGTTTCCGAAGCCATCAAACTATTCAAGATGGGAAATTAACTTCTGCTCTAAATTATTTCTTCTGGAGGAACTGTAAAAACATCCTGTCAATAGGAAACAGAAATCATTTCTTGTCAAAGGCATTCGTTTCTGCAAAATGAAATCCTAATTTGCAAAGTACGACTGCTCTCAACTTCACCGTGATTTTTTTTGCCTGGATAGATAGCAAAACCAGGGGAGAATAATCCCAGCCGGCTGTTGACGACAGAATTTGGAAAGTGCTCGGAGAAGCACCTTTAAGCGACCATCAAAATGCAAAGCTAAACCTACAACGGCCACTCTTCCTCCTCTTGCAAAGTCACGTACATGCTGCATCTGTTTCCACCCCGAAACCCCATCCCAGGCGGTGTGCTCTCGGCACAAAGATGGTTAAGTTGCACTAATGCAGCAAGGCCCAACAAGGAACGAGGGGCCAGGCGATGGGAGAGATAGCCCGGCCGGAGGAAGAGGAATAATCCCGACTTCTATCCAGGAGGAACACCCGCCATTTAACCCACTAGCCTCCCACACGGACCGATCCCTTTGACGGCGGGCCCTCTCCCTTGTCCTCGCAAAAGCATTCCCACCAAAAAAAGACTCTGATTACACGTCAGAATCCTTCTCACTCACTCACTCACTCACATACAAACACACATACGGGAGCGCGCACAAAAAACCAAGTGTGAGTGAACACCCGCCTCTCACTCACCGATAAGGCGCAGCACCTCTTCTTGACTCATATAAACACTGAGGCCCGGTCCCGTGGCGGGAACGGGCGACTGAAGCGGTGCCTTCTGGCTTTCGGAACTCGCGGGAGGGAACAGCATCAGCAACAGGAGCGGCAACAGGAGGGAACGGAGGCGGCGGACGAGCCGCGACTCAGCGGCAGCGTCGTAGCTTCCATCCCGCCGGCTGCCCCGCACCATCGCTTGCCCCCGGTTCCCCACTGAGGAGGGGAACCGGGTCCCGGCCCGAGGCCTCACACTCGACAACCGTTCATACTCCGGCCACGCGCGCTCGCGCCCTCCGGGCCGGGTTCATGAGCTCCTTCCCCCCCCCGCGCGCGCTCGCGCTCGCACTCCCTTGACCCGCCCCTCCGGCCGCGGAGCCAGCACATCCGACGAGGACAGGCAAGGCCCGGCTTTCTCCGCATGCGCGTTCTTCTTTCCCGCGGCCTCTTCTTTGCGCCTGCGCGAAAGAACCTTAACCTAATCGTGGAAAGTGCTTTTCAGTCGTAATGGGAAGCATCGCCTCGTTTTTCCACAGTAGTGCCGTCCCAAAATCTCGCACTTGGACCTCACTTGGCACAATTTATTGAGCACAAAAAGGTATCCGTTTATTCCACCCTATACCTAAGTGGAACCATTACTGGAAGCTCTATTTGAATGAAAAGAGCCTCTGATGCCTGCTGGAAGTAAAAAGAAATGAAAGCAGCGTTTTTATATTGTAACAGTTTATACTATTACGTATATACTATATGTTTTTCTATGTAAGAGCAAGGTTGGAGAATTCTGGGAATTGAAAGCCCATACATCTTAAAGCTGCCAAGGTTGAGAAATACTGCTTTATAATGGTGCCATTGCATAGTTAGTATTAGAGCATATAACACCAGACATGTCACTAGAAGGTAAAATAATGAAACTCTCTCACTTTGGCAGTGTCATATGGGAGAATTCACTGGAGAAAGTAATTATGTTTAGAAGAATTAGCAGTAAAAGGAAAACACAGTGGCTGGACACCATCAAAGCTGACATTAGCCAGAGCATAGAAGTACCCAGTCTCAGAATTTTGATAGACAGCGGTTTAAAGGAAAGGGAAAGAAGAGGGGGGGGAAATGACCAAATAGTGCTTATGCCAGTGATGGCGAACCTTTTAGAGACCGAGTGCCCAAAAACTGGCCCCGCCCCCACTTCACCCCCCTGCCCACCCCCACTCTGCCCCCCATCCCCCGCCTGCCCACAGAACCACTCACCGCCTCCAGGGCCCACTGCAGATCACCCAGGCAGCCTAGCAGCGCTATGGCGGCCACACCCTCTGCCCGCGCCCTGCAGCATCAACTGCATGATGGGGTGTGAGGGCAGAGTCTTCTCTACGCTGCTTGGCTGCCATGTCCTTGGCTGCGCTGCTCCGTGTGGGTCACGCTCGAGGGCGAGTCTCCTTCAGGGGGGCTGCTGGAGAGGAGGTGGTCGCGGAGGAGGCAAGTCTGGGGCAACGGCACGTGTGCCCACAGAGAGGGCTCCGAGTGCCGCCTCTGGCACCCGTGCCATAGGTTCGCCACCACTGGCTTATGCCCCATCCTGGGCGATAGTTATATGAGACAAGAGCAGACTGCAAACTCACATATCTTTTCCTCCATTTCCTACAACTCTCTACCATTTGTTGTGGTGAAATTGGCAGAATATTCATGTGATGGCTCTCTTGCTCTCTTATTTTCTTTCTATTGAAGTCCCTGGCAGAAAAATTCTTTGCCACCAAACAGAAATTTTTAATTCTAGCTCTAATTCTCACAATCGTCCATCTAAAATCTGGAATATTGGTTTGTGGCTATTTTTCCTTATGTGAAACAATTCCTACTCTGTTAACTGGAATCTGGATGGAGCAAAGCAGAACATCATCCTTTCCCAAGAAAGAGTCTTTCAATAATGGCTCCACTTTTCTTTCTTTTATGATGGTCAAGCAGTTTTGGAGGACGTAGTAGAGATTGTCTGGAATGGTATAGGGTCTCCAATTCGTGCAGAGGGTTGGACTAGAGGATCTCCAAGGTCTCTTCCAGCTCTGTTATTCTGGATTATAAATCCAACAATAGTGTAATATGAATAAAGGAATTATTCACGATCAGTCAATTGCAAAAGACAGCTTTACTTGGAACAGCTTACATCCTGCAATAATATCTCTAACAACATAAACCATCAACATCTGCCTGTCCCAGATCGATCCTAAAGGACTCAATAGGTGGATAAAAATGCCAAGTCCAGTCTAAACATCTGGCTGACTGTGCAACAGAATTATTTTTATTTAAAAAAGTAACAGTAAGGATGTCAGAGAATAGTTCTAGTGCTACAAAGGACAAGAGATTGAGTAACTATGGCAGATGCAAAAATCTGTGTATCCCTTCAGTCAAAACTTTACAAAAGTCTCCTTTGTCAGAAATAAAGGTTCCATCGGTTTCCTGTGGCCATTTATGAATCTTCTATTATTATTTTGCAAATGTTTCTTCTAGTTTAGAAAGATTCTCAGTTTTCATCCTATTGACTGTAGGTATGTGATTTCCCATACAGATTTTCAATAATATTCAAGTTTTAGAACTGTGAAGACTGTCCAAAGCCTTTCTTTCTTTTTGATAAATATTTTACAGTTTATTTGGAGGTGAGCTTAGTTATCTTGATAAAATGTTCAATCTTTTTTCAGCCTAAGTTTCTTCACTAACTATGCGAGATTAGGTTCTAGGGTATGTTAATACTGTACTTAATTGAATCCATCTTCCACTTGCATAATACTTGCTATGCAACATGTTTAATGGATTGCAAGGTGTTCATTTTTTTCAAATGTTTCACATTTTTTCCTCTAAATGTATATTGTGTTGTTGTGGCTGAACAGTTCAGTTTTAGATCCATTTGTCCTAGCTCTTTGTTGCAAAAGTTTCAAGCTTATCAAGGTTTTCTTTGCATACTTTAGATAATGACTTTCATATGAGTTTGAAGAAAAAGTTTCTTTTAGACATGCAGGCCACTGTTCTATAAGCTATACTTTATTGTGGATATCTACTTCACTGTCAGCTAATACCTTTTCAGTGAACTATGAATTTTGTTTGCAGATCTGGTCAATTTTAAGGCAGTTCTAACAGATGTTTCCCTAAAATAATAAACAGCTTGCATCCTACAATGATATCTGTGTTACTATCAAGCTTCCACATCTGCCTATCCTAGGTCCTTGGAAAGGACTTGATAGGTGGACAAAAATGCCAAATCAAGTCTGAACATCTGATTGAGTGTGCAATGAACCAAAATTTAACTAAGTTGAGATATATGTAACACAATATTGGGTACAATGTTGTATTGTGCACATGAATTGACACATATTGATTGCTCACACAACATCCTGATCCAGGGTCAAATTGAAGTGCCACGTCTTCAGGATCTTTCTAAATGCTAGCAGATCCATCTGGATTTGGTAGAGTTGTTGCTGTTTCAGAATGCAGGTGCACCACAGAAGAGGCATGCTTCCTGGGTATTTGGACAAATTCTGCTGGTAATATCCAGTTTAATTTACATCGTACAAAATCCCAGTTAATCCCTACAGCCAGGTTAATGCAAGCATGTATGTACTCAGTTCAGTTAGTAAAAATATAGTTTCATGTTTATTTATTAAGCATCAGCAATCCACCCCAAGTAGTTGTCTGGCAAAACAGGTAAAAAGGCATGCAAAGGCAGCATGAGGAAGAAACAAGAGCAATATGCAAAACTCTATCCATCTGTCTGAAACAGAACTTTTCAGAGACACTGGAAATACAATACTTTGGAAAATTAGCATGGACAATGCTTAAATGAGTGGCTTTGGTCATTTCAATTGGAATTCATTATTTTAAAATTCAGAACAGAAGCTGAATAGAGATCCAAGCAGAACAATGGGTAATCCCTCCATTTTCTGCACCAGTAAAGCTATAATGTGGTGAATAGGAATGATGTGTTCAATATATACCGGTAGCATAAAAAAGGGCTTAATGTTTAAATTGCTATAGAAATGGTTCATATCCCAATGCTCACAGTGATGGAGATTCCTTCAATCTCTTTTACAGAGGGAACTGCCTTTCAGAAGCTGGGCAATTGGTGCAGTTTTATAAGAGAACGCAGAATGGTTTGTGGCATGCTTCTTTCTATGCTGAAACATTTAGAAAATTTAGCAGTGAACATATGGGCAATTTTGGAAAAACACAGCCTTAAATGTTTGGGCAATTTGGGAGAAACACAGCCTTAAAACATTAATAAGTGAATTGTTTCTACAATTGCATGAAATAAGCATGTGGATTGAGGCTGCAAAAAAGCAGAGCATCTGCACATTATTATACTCTGTGGCTAGGAATTTACGTACCATTCCTTTGTTTGCCTTATAAGATTGAAGGGTGTGTGTGATGTGTGGTATAATAGGACTCAGCATGAAAGTGCCTTTTCTCCAGGATTCTATATTTAGGCCATTGCTCTTATGCTTATTTCAGTGTGAATGCTTGCCAGACTTCAGTGTAATATTTATCCAACATTTATCCTACATTTATGAAACAGTGTCATAGTGATCAGATGACAATGCCATTGATTGTTCAAGCTGCAAGAACTCATCACTTTCCAGTCATGTATGATTCTGTTTTCTGTTTAGCAGATTAGACTGTAATGTGGCACAGAAAATGAGGGTATTTCCCTTTCTTGTTCTTTTCCCCAAAATAAACTTAAGGTGGGTCAATCTACTGTTTACTTTTCAATATCTGAAATGCTAAAAGTATCTCTAAATATATTTTATTTCTTTTCCTTATATCACCATATTATAGAGATGATAGGATCTTTTTTGGATTATTTTTTTCAACACATATCCTTCCCAATTCTTATCAGTTTTTCACACTTTAGAAACTAGAGATTCTCTCTCTCTCTCTCTCTCTCTCTCTCTCTCTCTCTCTCTCTCTCTCTCTCTCTCTCTCTCTCTCTCTCTCTCTCTTCCTTTCCTCCCTCCCTGTTTATCAACAGGATAAAATCATGAAAAAAATAGTAAATAAAACAATGATTCAGCCCAGTGGTGGGATTCAGCCAGTTTGCACTGGTTCAGCAGAACCGATACCTAATTTTTTGTTGAGTTCGACCAATCTGTTATGATAAA